TTCTTTAGTACTTTGAATAACCAAGGCCCCTTTTGAGAAAGGGAAAATGCACACATATGTATGTCTGTTTATTGACTACATACGTCTGCTTGGCAAGGCTCTGAAAGTGATTTATAGTTTATGATGGTGGCTTGCAAGTCAACAGACACGATACAAAAAGGAATAGGAAACAGAGAAGATATTATATTAAGTAGAGATGGGCACGGACCATGGTTGGGCCTACTTTGGTGTAGCACCCACACAGGCGTTCTGCAAGTACCACACCTTTCCCTCTCCTGTATTGCCTGCACAATCGCCCATTCACCACCAACACCACCCCTGGCAGCGCGCTTCTCTCTGCCCCCCCCCTCCACTCATTGCTATGGTCTTCCCCACTCTGCCTCCTTATCGGAGTGGGTGGCACCTGCTGCTGTTAAATGGGTGATGGCATGGAGGAGGCAGGGGTTGGAAGCACGTGGCACTGCAGAACGCCTGTGTGGGCACCACATCAAACCACGGTTCCCGCCCATTTCTAGTGATAAGGCAGATTTGGATATCAACTTGTTCATATTGTTATGTAATGAAGTTATATAATAAATACGTGGAAAAGGCCACTGGTTGAGCTGATGTGAAACATAGTGTTGTGGATTAGTCACAGGCCTACCAGTGCCATGGAGTCAGCTACACCATAAGCCTCATTCTCTCTGGTTTGTGGACTGTCTGAAGCCTGTGGTGGTATGAGTATATCTCATTGTGGTGGGTTGTGTTTTAAGTCGCTGCTCTTCATAACATGGGCATGTTGCCCAGCTGTTTCCAGCTTGAGTTCGTCAGCGGAGGCGTAAGCAAGAGATCTTGGAATCTGCCAGGGCCATATGGAAAAGACTGAAACAGATGACGTGATTAGTGGAAGCTCTGAAACCATACATGGATTTGGAAGGTTCTGCAGTAGGCCTTGGCCATCCTGTAGTGCAGTGGTCCCCAACCTTGGGTCCCCAGATGTTTTTGGACCACAACTCCCAGAAATCCTGGCCAGCAGAGATGGTGGCGAAGGCTTCTGGGAGTTGTAGTCCAAGAACATCTGGAGGCCCAAGGTTGGGGACCACTGCTGTCGTGGACAGGCAGATGCCAGTGGGAATCTCACCAGCAGGTCACAGGACTCTAGAGGCTCCACAGGGTTGAGGCAGTGGTTGTTCCTCTTGACTGCAAAACGCGCAGCCTTCTTTGCTAGCCATGGAATTATCATGCTTTATTTTACACTGTTGAGAGGTAATTGTCCATGTATCGGTCTTCTCTAGTTTGTGTAGACGTTGCTTGCTTTTCATTTTTTGTTTTTATTTTGTGTTCTGTAGTTTCCTGTGCAATGTCTAGCAAGGTACAGGTCATGTTTTTACTATAGTCTTTTGGGGTGATGTTTGTAGCTAATCACAAACTTGAGTCAGAGTAATTATATTTTTTAACATTTCCTCTACACCTTGTGCAGTTTCAAGTTAGGCAGGTATAGCTGCGCAACAGGATCAAATGCACAATATATATATAGGCCAAAATCCTGTTGCGCAGCTATATCTGTCTAACTTGAAATTGCACAAGGGGTAGAGGAAATTGTGCCAAGGCAGAAGTAGTATCCCTGAAGCAGTTCTGCAGGCAGATTTCGCAATCAGTTGCAAATCACTTTGTGTAACACCCTGCACACTCCTGCAGGCATAATGTTCTATTACACCTCCTTCAGCAGTATTTTAGCCCTTGTTTAACCAAATGTTTGCCATATTGCAAAAATATAGTTTTAAAACACAGTGCAGGACAGTATGGGATATACAGGATAGAAGCCCAGGATAGACAAAAGCGTGAGGTTGGTTTTGTATATCATGCCCATTGATGAGTAGACCAAGGCCTACACTGTACGCCTCAACATTGTCTTTCCAGTTTTGAGGAATATTAGGCATCTAGCTTCTTCTCCCCACCTTCCATCACACAGATTCGAATCAATGAGGCTTGTCCTGGTTCAGCCTTCTGAGGACTGAATTCCCGGTTTCTTGCTGCAGTGTTGCTATAGCAATGTATATGTGACTGTGGATCATCCTGCAGTAAGATTCGCATTACAAATGTTAGTATGCAGGACACGCAGAAAACAGGCAACGGGATCTAATGTTAAGAGACCATAGCATCCATGTGGCTCCAGTGTGGTATTAATTATTACAGAACTTTTGTTTTTTCTCTCTTTGTGTGTGTGTGTTTTGCCTGTGCATTTGGTCATGCAGACGTAGCTACTTTGGAAACTGCCTTCTCTTTTGGCCACCCAACCCAGGAGTGTCAACTCTGATGGCTGCTCAGGTTTCACGTGACTCTTTCTTAATTCCACTGAGAGACCCCTTGTGTTGCCCAGAGGCCTCCCACCCTGGTGCTGGCCAGGACCAAACCTGCTTCATTTTTGAAACCAGGCAAGATGGGTTGTGGTCCAAGGGGCATCTGTAATATCTTTGGGACCAGGCTGTAAAGTAAGGTGTATGCAGGACACGTGCTGACATGTACTGTTTCTGGTTTGACCCCAAAGGACAGCAGTATGGAAGAGGCAAGGCAGACTGTTCAAGGCCGCATGAACAAGCTCTGTGGCAGGATGAGACCAAAAGGCCCAGCAGCGAGGAAGCCATGAGCCACCACACACCTGTAGAAAGGGAAGGGATGGGATGTGAACTAAGCAACTGGTATTCAGACTAGGGAGGTCAGTAATCACTTACCTTGTTCTCTTGTCTGAGAATAAGAAGCTGCAAATTATCAGTCAGCCAGACCTCCTCTTGCTGTGTATGTGTGGTTTGCTTCATAAGAGGAGAGGACACTTGTGTGCATGCAGAGGTGTTCTGTGTTCTAGACACCGAGATGGAGGTCAATGCTCATTTCGTTCTGACATGAGAGGAGAAATATTACTGGGCTAATCGGAAGTTGTTGATTAGTGTTTTGCACTAACTTTCCAGCCCTATGCTGCACTGGTAGTGTTTCCTAAATATTTAAAACAATGCTCAGGAAGTAGAGCTGGGTCTATCCAAGATTAGGCCAGAATCACTTCCTCTTGGGTCTATTGCTACTTGCCACAAGCAGCTCTTCCTTAGTACTGTTAATCTCCCTGTTTTTTTTTAAAAAAGCAGCTCTCTGGAAATGAAATGAGCCCATCCTGTCTCGTGACACACTTCCCTCCTCCTGCACCTTCTAGACCGCTTATTTATCTCTATCTCCCAGTTTCTATATATGTAGCTTTGGGAATCTTGGCTCAAGAGCTTAACAGTGAAGTATTATGCACATCTATTCAGAAATAAGACTTCATGAGTTTTGCGAACCTTTCTTCTAGGTAAACGTATATATCGGATTGTAGCCCAAAATATACATCTCAGTCTGTTGACTGACAGATTTATTAGAACAGGTCTAGATTGAATCTGTTTGCCGAGGAACCCTGTGCGAATGGCATCAGGACAATGCAGGGCAGATAAAAAAAGATTCATTGAGTAAAAGACGTTGCAGAATCCTGAGCTGTTGTGAAGGATCTACTGTACTCAGAGATCCAGGTTTTTCATTATAATAGATCAAGTGGGGAAGAGGAAGGATAACCCTTAACAATGTGTCTTTTGTTCAGTAAACATCTGCTTGAAGAGGTTAATTAAGCGTGGGTTGGAGAAGCAGGCTGCTGGAGGCAGATAGTGAAGCCTGTCAGGTCTTCGGAGGCTAGATAGTCGGCTTTTGAGAAAGATGAGGGCTTGTGCTTGCCAGGAGGTGAGAAAAGGTGGCTCTGGCAGCAGAGACAGAGGCTGCTTCCGTAAAGCCCACTCTCTTTCCCATCTCAGGGCAGGTGGATTCGATAAATGAGGTTAACAGGTAGGGCTGCCGCTTCTCTTTGGGCAACGTTTGGGCACTGCGGGCTCTTTTCTTGGGGATTTGGCCTCCCGTTGTGGAAACAAAAAGCCAACACTGTCGAGCATCCCTTTAGATTCTGGGCTCACGCAATATAATTGAGACGCCTCATCCCTTTTGCTTCAGCGAGGTTGTTAGGAAGAAGGGAGGGGAGCCTGACTTTGGTCATAAGCAGGTGGGTCAGAAATAGAGGGGTATGTTTCTAAGAATTTTATTTTATTTATTTATTTATTTTTAAATTTTCCTTCTAAAATTCACTGTTACCATAACTTGTCACTACCTGGCTGTTTGACAGATAAATTAGAACAAATGTACGACATTATTGAGGGTCTGGCATTATGCAGAGCAGCACAAACAGGAAGAAAAGCTGCTCTCTTGAGGAACTGCTAGTCTGTTAGACAAACGGGAGGAAAGAAAGCCGAGCTCAAGGGATGGACAGATGCAGACGCCGTACTGGGAATGTGTTGTAAGGAGAGAGAGAAAAGTAAAACCAAGGAGGTTCTGCGTTGGTTTGTTTTTTGCTTTTGCGCGGGAATGGAAGATGTTAAAAGGAGCTCTGCCACCCCCTGCTACCTAGGCTTGGTTGCCTTTGGCTTGCACTTCGTTTTCTTGGCATGCGCAGATGTGCCATTTGTGGAAAAGTGACTGGCAAAGGTGTCACGACTGTTGGTTTGGAGGGCACGGAGCCAGGTAGGTAGGTAGGCTCTGCTCTTTCCTAGGGAGCAGTGATTTTGCATAAGGGAGAACCCACCATTAGCAAAATAAGTGATGGGTAGAGGTCTCAGGAGCTGCCAGCTGTGGTGACTCTGGGGAATCACAGCATTTGGAGGCTGAATATATCTGTGGTGGGCTGGGCACAAACTGTGCAGCGGGGCTCTCTCTCCCCGCCCCCCCCCCCGTCTTCGCAAAGCCTTCTCCGGGGCCGTGGGCTGAACAGAATGCTTGTCCAGGCAGATCTTTTGTCTTGTTCACCAAGATTGCTCATATTTCCTTTTGCTCCGAGAAAAATGTGTACTCGTAGCCATGTGCTTGCTGTCTTCAAAAACCAGTTCTTTGGGATGCAGGGGAAAGGGTGGCTGAACAAATTCCTTTCTGTATTGAGTGTCGCATAACTTCCCCGTTTCCAGGACTCATGGCAGATGAATAAGCAAAGATGGCGGCCATGGTTCCCCCAGTGAAGCTGAAATGGCTTGAACATCTGAACAGCTCGTGGATCACGGAAGACAGTGAATCTATAGCCACCAGGGAGGGCGTCTCCATCTTGTATGCCAAGTTAGTCAGTAATAAAGAAGTTGTGCCCTTGCCCCAGCAAGTTCTCTGTCTTAAAGGGCCCCAGCTGCCAGATTTTGAACGTGAGTCCTTATCCAGCGATGAGCAGGACCACTACCTGGACGCCCTCCTCAGCAGCCAGCTGGCCCTGGCTAAGATGGTGTGTTCCGACTCCCCCTTTGCTGGGGCCCTTCGTAAACGCTTGCTGGTGCTGCAGCGCATCTTTTACGCACTTTCCAATAAGTATCATGATAAAGGCAAGGTCAAGCAGCAGCAGCATTCTCCAGAAAGCAGCTCCGGGTCGATGGACATCCATTCGGTCAGCGAGCGGCCGAGGTCAAGCACAGACGCGCTTATAGAAATGGGTGTCCGAACTGGACTGAGCCTCTTGTTTGCACTGTTACGGCAAAGCTGGATGATGCCCGCTTCAGGAACCGGACTTAGTCTTTGCAACGACGTCATCCACACGGCGATTGAGGTCGTGAGCTCTTTGCCGCCTTTGTCCTTAGCGAATGAAAGTAAAATCCCAGCCATGGGACTGGACTGCCTCTCTCAGGTCACCACCTTTCTGAAAGGGGTCACGATCCCTAACTCTGGAGCAGATACTCTTGGCCGGCGGCTGGCGTCCGAACTGCTGCTGGGCTTGGCCGCTCAGCGCGGCTCCCTGCGGTACCTCCTGGAGTGGATCGAGATGGCACTAAGTGCCTCCGCTGTGGTCAGCGCCATGGACAAAACCAAGATGCTGCCGTCTCAGGAGGGGATGATCAGCTTTGATTGTTTCATGAATATCTTAATGCAGATGAGGCGATCATTGGTATGTATGCATCATGTCTGTTGGAAACGGGCTTCTTAATCAAAGAGCTAGCAGTTGGCATGTATATTCCTGTTGCCAGTGTTCCTGACTTGAACAGGAATCTTGGGGCTTTGTATCGATGGATTCTAGCATAAGAAATCTATTAAATCTGTCCCCCTCTGCTTTGCAAGAGCCCATGTTTAACAGCCTTGGAACAGTTTCAGATTTAAAAGGGTCTGATCGTCATTAAGTGTGTCCTCAACTTTTTTTAAAATTTCTGTTTCACTTACGTGATTCCACAGGAAAGACAGTGTTAAGAGCTGCTTTTAGCTGCATTAGGTTCTTATTGCTCTTCTCTTAAAATAAAAACAGCCAAGAGAATGCTGTAATTTGGTAATGATGCGTTTTAAGGTTTTTCAGAAGGATCAGTTCCTTGAGATTTTTTTTCAAGTGACATTTCTGCCCACCAGTTGTGCCTCTCTTATTTGGAAGGAGGAAATTAAATTATATGTGTATTTTCCATTCTGTGCCCAAACAATACTTGTTAATTCAAGCCTCTGGTTCCCTTTTATGATTCAGTTTAAAGATCTGGGACAACTGTGCCTGAGGTTAACATTGGCAATAGCTTGTGTACTTGGAAGTGTCCGCTCAGCCAGACATTTTAGGGGTAGCTATTAGAGATGGGCACGAACTGCTGAATTGGTATTTTGCGTTGATTAGTTTACCACCGAACACCCGTGGCGGTGGTAAGTGACCTGGCGGTTTGTGCCCCTCTCAATCGCCGTAGCTATGAAACATTGGGTATCTGCCTTGGCCCTTCCTCGTCATGGGCATCTAGCACGACCTGCAGCCTTCCTCAGCGTTGTGCTTTTCAGATGTGTAGAGGACAGGTCCGAAAGCTCTTTTGCCTGAAAGTTTATGGCAGCTGTTGTCCAACATCTGGAAGGTAGCATCTCAGGGAAGGACAAACTTCCTGAAAGCAACTAGTAGAACTCACTTGCCACTGCTTGAGCTCTGGAAAAAGTGCTGTGGAACTAGACAGTATCACTATTTTGAGGAAACAATGCTGCTCTTGATTCAGTTTTATTTAGCAAAATATTTTGTTCGCCTCGTATTATCGTGAAATGTTGTCAGTTCCACTACAACAGTTACTTCCCCAGTGACATTTTCACCTTCCAGGGATCGTCTGCTGATCGAAGTCAGTGGAGGGAACCCACGCGCACCTCTGAGGGGTTGTGTTCTCTCTATGAAGCAGCTTTGTGTCTCTTTGAGGAGGTATGTCTGTGTCACCCTTCATTAAAGGATGATTTAAAAATGATAAGGAACAGCTGCCTTTTGCATCTTTCCAGTTGGGTGCATTTCCTTCTGTTTCAAAAGAGTGAAAACAGTAACTCTGAAGCTGTCCCGAGGACAGCTGGGTTAGTTTGCTGGGTGCTTGGATGCCTGTCTTGTCCCTTCCCAAAGGCTTAAAGTGGTTATCAGTTTGTGGGGGGGGGGAAGTAGTGGCATAAAATGTGTGTATCTGTGCAATTTAATGCCAATTAAATGCATCTGTTTAACCCAGACAGCACAGACAAAAGAGGGACTGCTAGGAGAAAATGATTTTGCCGGTGAGGGGTGGCTGCAGAGCCCCCCCCCGCCCGCCTGCCCTTCATGTTTGATTTTGCTGAATAGAAAGAATGTGCTCTGGATTGATGTTGTGCATGCTCTAATGAAAACCCTTGGCGCATTTGCTCTCATGGTTAAGGACTCTCACAAAAGGCCCATGTGAAGTGAAAGACTAAGTATATTTATTTGTAGTTTATAGAGAGATTAAACATATTAAAAGCAGATTGAAAATATTATTTAAAGAACATCAGAAACATTTTATAAAGCAGATTTAAAATTGTTAAACGTTTTAAAAGTTTAAAAGCTAAACTTAAAACCAGTGTAAAAAACTAAAGGCCTTTCAGAATTGTACAATTCCAGCTGATCCAAGGCCAGCGACATAACGGTTTCGAAAGCATACGCAAGGCAGCAGTTGGGCCATAACTACATGCAGGAGGTGTCCCCACGTTGAGTATCTTACAGAAGTCTTATTGGGAGGCATTACGGCTCTGTGGCCAAATCTGCCTTCTCTGTGAGTGGAATGTGAAATCATATTGTAAAACCCCCCCCCCCCCCGGTCATCACACTCGGTTTCTGAGTTTTGTGCATACTATGAGATAACAGTCTAAAGGCAACAACGCGTTTTGTGCTTTCATGAAGACAACATCATGAGCATCGCCCCCAGCCCTGCCTTGGTTCTTCTGAAATTCATGTTTCTTTTGCCAGGTTTGTCGCATGGCCTCGGATTACTCCAGGACGTGTGCTAGTCCGGACAGCATTCAGACTGGGGATGCGCCCATTGTGTCTGAGACGTGCGAAGTGTATGTCTGGGGCAGCAACAGCAGCCACCAGCTCGTGGAAGGAACGCAAGAGAAAATCCTTCAGCCCAAGCTGGCTCCAAGTTTTTCTGATGCTCAGACAGTGAGTGACTTGGGCAGGGCAGGGCAGGGCAGAGATTGCTGGGGGCGAGCGAGGGGTGATGGTGGCGGCGAGGTATCAGCGTAGGTGGCGCTGTCAGGCTGGGATAACTTGGCATGACGTCTCCCGCTATTAAAAAAAAAAGGTGCTACAAGCATATGATTCTTAAGAGGCTAACAAGAAGCCTCGTCTTCTCAAAATACCGCTTCAACTCTTGACAGCCTGCTCTAAATTCTTCTTGATGTCCCTTTCTCCTCTCCCCACCCTAGATTGAAGCCGGCCAGTACTGCACTTTTGTGATCTCGACGGATGGCTCCGTTCGGGCGTGCGGCAAGGGGAGCTATGGCCGGCTGGGCCTCGGCGATTCCAACAATCAGTCCACGCTGAAAAAGCTGACTTTCGAGCCTCACCGATCCATCAAAAAGGTGTCATCGTCTAAAGGCTCTGACGGCCACACCCTGGCGTTCACGACGGAAGGCGAGGTCTTCAGCTGGGGCGATGGAGACTACGGGAAGCTGGGCCATGGGAACAGCTCCACCCAGAAGTACCCCAAGCTGATCCAGGGGCCTTTGCAAGGAAAGGTAGGCTGTTTGGAGGAGTGGGTGGGTTGGCAGGAAGGGCCCTTCTGTTTCTCTTTCTGTTGTGCCTCTGTTACTCTTGCTTGGTGGACTTTGGAGAAGTTAAATCTTCTGGGCACCTGTGTCTTGCCTGTCTTCCTCTTCTGTGGCCATTCAGTGGTCCAGACCATGGAAGAGGGGGATCTCCTCCCCTCCTTGTCCTTCTCCTTCACACACACCCTTGGCCAGGGGCTGCATTGGGAGGAGATTTTCTGCAGAAAGGACGGCCCTTGTCCAGGAGGCATCTTTCAACCTGGCCTGGCCTTTCACTGTGCTCTCTAAAGGTGATGTTCTGCTGGGTGTTCTGCTATTCTTCAATCTCAAGTGCCTCAGTCGTTTTCCTGAACTAATTTGCCATAACATACGTTACCCTGTGGACCACCTAGAAGGTCCACAGATGAAGGAGGAGCTGCTTGGTAGTTCGCCCTGTTTGGAGACAACTGGAAAATGCTTCCGTAGGGCAAGATGGGATGCTTGTACTTGGCTTGTGAGTTGAGTTAACCTCGGTTTATGCAAAGCCAGTCCCTGCCGTGACGGTGGAATCTGGGCCCAGGCGCAGAGCTGATTCTTGTGGGAAGCCCACAGGAGTGCTGCCGTCTGCAACTTGGATTGCAGCCACGCAGGACTGGACGTGACCTCTTGTACCTGTAGTAGGGTTTCATGGGGCCATTATGTGGTTCTGCTGAGCTTGTGTGGAAGTTAATCTCATTTCCTCAAACACTCTCGACTGCCTTAACTCTTAGGGCTTTTCCTTTTCAAACTTGTAAAGTGAAACAGAGTTGGGCCATTTTCTGTTTTAACAACAACATGCTCCCAGGCAGGTACTAGAAATTCAAAGAGGGGGCAGGGTTTCTTGTACTGCTTTCCCGTTGTGCTCAGGATTTGAGAAGGGGTCTTTCAGTGAATGGGTGGGGGCTGCACATCAGCTTTGTTTATTTAATTTATATCCTCCCTTTGTCCCCCAAAGTGGGATTCCGTTTTAACTGTTTTTCCCTCTTCGATGTCACGTAGGTGGTAGTCTGTGTCTCAGCCGGATACCGACATAGCGCTGCTGTTACAGAAGATGGGGAATTATACACCTGGGGAGAAGGAGACTTTGGAAGACTAGGTAATGGAAATCGTTTCTGACTTTAAAAACATATAATTAATATCTTGTTGGAAGAAATGGTAACCTTTGAAGAGAACAAGGATCTAAGAAAGCTGTGAACTTACCATTTGTCAAAGCTGAGAAACCCTTTTTTAGTTTACATGATTCGGCGTATATATTTTCATGCATTTTTTCTAGCTCGCAATCAAAATCCATTATAACATGAAAGAGGGGAAAGAGACCTGCAAAATAACCGAATTGATTACTTTTTCCCCAAGGTCACGGCGACAGCAATAGCCGAAACATTCCAACTTTAGTCAAAGATATCAGCAACGTAGGAGAGGTTTCCTGCGGCAGTTCACATACCATCGCTTTATCCAAAGATGGACGGACCGTTTGGTCATTTGGTGGAGGAGATAATGGTAATGTGTTCCTATACTTTTTCTCTTTAAGATATATTGAAATTTCAGCCTTTCTGCCTACCCCTGCCATGATGTCCCTCTTTAAGTGGCCTTATTTGTATGATTATCAGAGGCTTCATAGACCTTGATAAGTCAAGGGGTCATCCCTTTCTCCCTCATTCCCTCATGCTACTGATGTCAGGTAACAAATCAGATTCAGATCTTGACTCGATACCCCAGTTGGTTAACTGACATTAAGTGAGAGAATTCCCAGATTGGGAAAACAAAACAAAACAAAACAAAAACAGGGAGCACTGGCTTGATGCAAGCTAGGGTGAAGGAGGAGTCCATGACCATAGCTTCATAGATTGCCTTGCGCAGCTGGGAGTCATGACCCAAACGTGGCTGGTATATGCACATCAATTTCAAATTACTGCAGCAAAGCTCAAGGAATAGACTAGGTCATTTGGTCATGTGCCCTGTCTCCTTGGTGGCTCCTTTTTGACTCCACTTGTGTCGGATGGCGAGCTGCTCCGACGTTTGAGGATCACTGCCAGTGGGGACAGTGGTGAGTCCTCGCTGGCTTTCTAGATTGTGACTTTAGTAAGAAAAAAAGCATGTGTTGTGATGATGGTTGTCCTGAGACGTGTCTAAAGTGCTTCTGGAAGATGTTTGCCATGATGGCAGTTCTTCACAAATATCTTTGCCCAAAGAGGGCGTGCATGAATTGATTTGCAGTTTTAAAATGAGAGATGATGTTAAATGTGCATTTATTGTATGAAAGGCTGCATCACAGAAGTGATTGGTTTACATGCCATCCTAAACAGGCAAGCTTGGCCATGGCGACACCAACCGAGTGTACAAACCAAAAGTGATAGAGGCCCTGCAGGGGATGTTCATACGGAAAGTCTGTGCAGGAAGCCAGTCTTCGCTGGCGCTGACATCCACTGGGCAGGTAAGCAGGAGGGGGGGGTGTCATAGCAAAACATAGGGGCACAGCTGTTACAGATGCTGAGATAGCTATACGAGGTCCTTGCACCAGTGTACCTGAGGTGGGCAGGTTAGAAAAGAAAATCCATCCCTTTTCAAAAGCTTCCTGGCCTGTTCGCTTTGGCAAGCGGCTCTTCGCAAACCCAGTAAGGAATGATTTCTCTTTTGTTAAAGTGCTTTGACATTATATTTTCCAGGTGTGTTGAAAAGGCCATGGTGCTTGGCATTCAGAGACCAAGGGATAAAATCTTAAAATACTGCAGTATTTTGGCCTGAATCCTATTGTATATTAACTTACATGCAAGAGGCATGGCAAAAGTTGTCCCTGCTAATTGATAAGGTACTTGCGATGGATGTCTGGTACCTTGTCAGCCACAGGAACTCCTGTGAGGCCTTTAATATGTGCATAAACATCCAGTAGGACTTTGGCCTCTGTAGATCTCCCCCCCCCCCCGCCAGCTTGAAAAGAGCTGACACATGGACAGCGTCCTTCTGGAGAGATGCTTCATAGAAACCTTCGCTTTCCCAACAAGAATTCATAAACACACGGACAAGAGGCAGACATTCAACCCCTGCTTTCTGAGCAAACAACAACAAATGAACACAGCTGTATACTTCTTGGGCTTGGGCCGTTACGGGTAGAACGTCTCCTGCAGCTCTATGTACGCCTTGAGTTTGGGTTTGCAGGATTCAATGGCCCGAGTGATGTACAAACCTTGCAGCAAACTTGGAGGTCCTCTGGTTAATCGGGAAGTACAGCTTCTGTTGTTTTTTTAAAAAAGAGGGATTCCTCTAAAGATCGTGCTGTCTTTCACCGGAAAGCAGGCGCCTCTTCTAAGATGGTGCCTGCTGTGAGATACAGTATGTGTGAATTGTCTGAAAAACAGGCAACCTCCATTCCAGACAGGTTTTCCACAAGTTAATGGAGTCTTTATCACTTATGTGGGATTTGTGTTGTTGGTGGACAGGCGCAGCAGGATATGGGAGGAGGGAGCCCTTTGGGGTCCTCTGACGGCACGCGTTCTGTCTGCTTGACTTAGGTGTACGCCTGGGGTTGTGGCGCGTGCCTGGGGTGCGGCTCCTCGGAAGCGACGGCGCTCCGGCCCAAGCTGATCGAAGAGCTGGCAGCCACGCGCATCGTGGACGTTTCCATCGGGGACAGCCACTGCTTGGCCCTTTCTCATGGTAAAGTGTGCCCTCCCCATAACAGAAGCTGAGCTGTTTTCGGGTTTGCGGTGCGCTTTAAAACCATTGCTGCCATTTGCGTTCTTTCGTAGACAACGAAGTGTACGCCTGGGGCAACAATTCCATGGGGCAGTGTGGCCAAGGAAACTCCACCGGGCCCATCACGAAGCCCAAGAAAGGGAGCGGCTTAGATGGAGTCGCCATTCAGCAGATTTCGGCTGGAACATCCCACAGTCTGGCCTGGACAGCCCTTCCCCGAGACAGGCAAGGGATTCTGCACGTACACACATACACACGTGCGTGCGTGCGTGCATGCGTGCGTGCGTGTGTGTGTGTGTGAGCACTTCCTTTTCCTTTGCAAAGGCAACAACATTTTCAGAAATTTTACAAGTCTGTTGTAGAAAGGAGTTAAAAGAGCAAAAGAATTCCAATTGATTTAATGTTTTGTTCTTTTGCACGAGGATGGTTTGAGCACTGTTATGTTCCAGAGAGTCTCCTTGTTGTGTCCGTCTTGGCAGGATGGCCTTTTCTCTGTTCTTGGCAAGTTTTTAGCTTGCGTTTCTGGCTTTGTTGCTCCATGATGGCCTTTTCTTTGATTGCAGGCAAGTGGTGGCTTGGCACAGACCGTACTGTGTGGATCTGGAAGAAAGCACCTTCTCCCATCTCCGTTCTTTCCTTGAGCAGTATTGCGACAAAATCAACAGCGAAGTTCCTCCACTTCCTTTCCCTTCCTCCAGGTATAAATGTGTAAAGCATTTTATAAATTGAGATGGTTTGAAATTCTGTATGTTGTAACACAGCCCTTGCTTTTCAGGGCTGGAGTTTGTGTTAATGATGTAGTTAGCTCAAAGTTAGGAAGGTTACGTGTGCTTTCTTTGTTTGGAACCAATGCTTAACTGTGAAGTGCAGGAGATGTGAAGGAACACCCTGATGTACAGTTTCATCATGTAGCTGAGAGAGACAGCTGGAGACCTCCCGCGTGCTACAAAGTGCTCTTCCACTAAGCTGTCTTCCCCCCAAGACTGTCTTGTGCTGCAGTTATCTGTCGCAGAGGCTCCGTTACCACTGCTGATTGTACGGAATAATACATGCATTTTGTTTATTAACTTGCATCCTGCTTCATTTAAAAAGAAAAGGAAAAAAAGAGTGGCTTGCCAAAAACCAGCAAATGAAAGTCACCAGGCAGCTCAGGATCCCAACATGGAAAAGGTTATGTATCCATAAATGTTGAGGGCTCACCATCCAGCACTCCAAGCACCCCGCATGACCCAATCTGTGGTGCAGGTAGAAGGAATAAAAACAGCCTGGTGCTCGGCAGATCATTAACTCTTAACTTCCATTATCCTTGGCAAAGCAGCAAGAAATAACCGGAGAGGCAACCCAATCCGAAGCGGCCAGTCAGAAGCCAGCCCCAGCCTCATGGCCGGAAACTCAGCCAAGCCCTTCTGAGCCCAGGAGGTCTCCCAGAAATACCTGAATGCTAGAAGGGGCAGATGTTCCTGGGGGGGGGCAGGTGGGGGGGTGGCTTTTCCCTGTAGCACCAGCACTAGGGCCTTGGTGGTCTTATGGCAGTTGTTCCAGGTAAGCCACCCAAAGTTTCTTCTGTTGTATTGATGGTTTATGTAGACCGGCGGTTCTCACCCTTGGGGTGCCCAAGATGTTTCTGGACTGCAACTCCCAGCAGCTCCGGCCAGCACAACCTGGTGGGTGTCGGCTTCTGGGAGTATTAATCCAAAAACATCTGGGGACCCAAGGTTGGGAACCACGGATGTTGACCTTCCGGACACGTGTAGGGTGCTGGAGAAGGGAGGAAGGACTGGAGAGACCGGGCAAGTCCCAGGTTAACGGCAGAATCTTCTTTTTCAGGGAGCACCACCATTTCTTGAAGCTGTGTCTGAAGTTACTCTCTAACCACCTTGCTCTCGCATTAGCTGGCGGAGTCGCCACAAGCATCCTTGGGAGGCAGGCAGGACCGCTGAGGAACTTGCTGTTTCGCTTGATGGACTCTTCTGTCCCGGACGAAATCCAGGAAGTAAGTGTCTCCTGCCTTTTTTCTGCCACCTCCCCACCCCCCCTTGACACTCAGTAATGCAAATTCCCCTGGGAACTCCCTCTAGTCTACCTGGCTGGTTTGGCTCTCCTCCTCCTCTTCTCTATGACTTGTCCATGCCGGCAGTGTTGTTACTAAAACTACCAACCCTCCACAGAAGGTGGGAGGCACCCAGATCCTTGGGAATCCATGCATCATGCCAAAGTAGGAGACACTTTTATAGATCTCCTCTGAAGGAGTCTGTGCTAGAGGAAGAGGGCTGCAGCTAGTGAAAGTGATGACAAAAGTGATCCGTCTTTAAGCTGAGATAAGCTCCCAAAGGATGCTGTTGTTTTTTTTTTTAACAAATTAACACCAGTGGGCGATGGTATTCTGCCTCCTCTCATGGATTCAGAAGTGGGGAGCAAGCGCCTGTGTGCATAGTTGAAGTCGGGGGATCTCACGGATCTGTTCCTGCATCTCTCTCAGTTCCTTCTGGAGCTTGATTTGCCTGGAAGGCTGAGCAGAGAAAGAATTTCTGGAGGCACAGGATTGGCTGCCGTAGTTTTGAACAGTACATTCACAGGGAGAACGTGCCAAGGAGCAGTAACTGCCCAAAACGCCAGAAGCGAAATTAGATCCGACGGTGCTGAAACCTTTGGAAATCCTTCCCCACTTTCAGGTTGTGATTGAGACCCTGTCGGTGGGCGCCACGATGCTGCTGCCTCCCTTGAGGGAGAGGATGGAGCTGCTGCATTCGCTTCTCCCCCAAGGTCCGGACCGGTGGGAGAGCCTGTCCAAAGGCCAGGTAAGCCACGGAAGCCACGTTTTCTAGAAGGGGCCTCTGGAGCCACGCAGTCCGAGGGGCTTCCAATCCCCCAGTGCATTTTAATCAGTTCAGCTGTTGCTGTTTTTTAAATGGACAGCTCATTGTGTTTTCACTTCAGTTCTTTTTAATACTTTGAGCCGCCTCGTCCCACCTTTTTGGGCGAAAGGCAGCCTACAAATAAGACAAATATTGCAGAGGATCATATAGAATTGCTTTGGAATGCTGTCGTTTTTGTGTTTTTACTTACTTAATCGTACACGATGGTGCTCTTATGTTTGCTGTGAAGCACCTGTTCCAGTGTGGGTAAGGGGAGAATAATTAATTTTATTCCTGGAGAGGAAGGCAGTCTCCTAGGTTAGGGTAAATGAATGTAATAAATACAGGATTAACTAGTTCCTTATCAGAATATTTTAGAAGAAGTTAATATTCCCCAGCATTGAGGCGTCTCACTTGAATTGAAAGATCAACTATAATGTTGCTGAAAACAATGAGCCAGTTATGTTAGTTATATGCCGTGGCCATAAGTAAACAAAACAACAGAATGGCCCATGTTATTTACAGTTTGATCACTGATTCTGAACCAGTTTTCTTTCTCAAAAAAAAATTATATATATATATTTTCAATTTGATTGCTTAACTAGGATTTCTTCTCAAGCAAAGTACAAAAAAAAATTCATTCCCCATCCTCTTTCAGAGAATGCAGTTGGATATCATCCTGACCAGTCTGCAGGATCACACGCATGTAGCCTCCCTGCTTGGCTATAGCTCCCCCTCAGACACCACAGATGTCTCCTCTCTCTGTATCGCCTACGGAAACATCTCTGATCCAACCTACGGTGCCCAGAGTCACCATCCGGACACCCACCTGGCAGAAATTTTAATGAAGACTCTTCTGCGCAATTTAGGATTTTATACTGTAAGTTCAAAGCTCAAATTTCATTGCCAAACACCAGTCAAGTACTATAAAACTGAGCTTAGCTTCACTGAGTGGGAGGTGGTTATGAAAGCATTTCCCTTCTATAGGCATATCACTTTTCTTAGGATCATGTTGAGTTGGAACGAGGAATATTTGCCCATTTAGAGTAAGAGCTGAGAGTTTTGCCCTCCTTCTTAATTGGCTTGGAGATACTGTCATGCAGTCATAGAACAAAGGGATGCTTGTTTTAAACAGTGGCATGATGGAAGCAGCTGTTGGAAAGGATGGCCAAACTGGCTTGAGAAAGATAAGCATTTGTGTATTGGGAGGGACATTTTGTTCCTCTGAATCTTTTTACCCCCCAGGTGTAAAAGCTGCAATTTCTTTGGTTCCTTGCAGTTAACTTTCCCTCAATCTGAGAATGTGCTGCTCAGGCCCCCTTTTTAAATTGTGTATTAGCCGAATGAATTTCTAGCCCTCCTGTCTCAGCTTGTTGGACCCGAAACTGAGAGTCTCTTTCCTGGGACCTGCCAGGAGGCTCCCAGTCAGAGCAAGTCATGATTAATTAAAATGTTTAGATATTTCTGGGGGAAAAGGTCCTGTGTTTGGAAGGGGGAAAAAGGAAGAGGCTGGTTGAATCAGCAGAGAGTTGTATAGAAACTTGCAGAGTGATTCTTCTGTCATTCTAGGACCAAGCGTTTGGAGAGCTGGAAAAGAACAGTGACAAATTTTTACTAGGGACATCGTCATCGGAAAACAGTCAGCCCGCTCACCTTCACGAGCTGCTGTGTTCCTTGCAGAAGCAGCTTCTGGCGTATTGTCACATCAGCAGTGTTGGCGAGGTGGGTGCCACGGCTGTTTGTACGTGATGATGATTGGGTTTCCTTTGCAAAGAATGGAACTACGGGGAGCAGTAGTCATGGTCAGCCCTGAGTTTACATGTGATCTTCTATAGACCACAAATTCATCGCCCCCTTTATTTCCAGCACTGGGTGGTGAATGCATTTGCTTGTGTAGCTGAAACAAGGGCATCCAGATACAAGGGGGGGAGCAGTGCTTTTAAGGTTTGCAGATGTACAAAAGAAATCTCCCGTGAAGGGGAAGACCCTCCACGCAGGCCAGGGGGAGGCCTTCTTCACCTTCGTGGCTCCTCGTGTGGAGGAGCAATTCATGAAGGTGGGTGAGAGGGACACAGAATGCCGGGTTCAGGTCGATGGATCGGCAGGTGACGAGCAAGTCCCACCCTTCTTGCCTAGACCCCTGAGAAGTGCCCCCTTTCTATTTCCAGAACTCCAGCAGCGTGGCGCTCTTGCACAAACACCTCCAGCTTCTCCTGCCTCACGCCACGGACATCTATTCCCGCTCTGCGATTCTCCTCAAGGAGAGCTCTTGGAATGGCAGCGTTGGAGAAAAACTCAGAGGTGGGTGCGTCGCGAATCAGACCCTGCTGAAAGGAGGGAAGGAAGGAAGGTGGGCCGCAGAAATACACAACGAAGGAAAATAACGTTTACGTCTGGCTTAGATTTTCTTCCGGTGGCTCCTTTTTCTTTTTGTTCTGCATTTTGTGTTTGTTCGTTGAGATGTGCCTGAAACCCGAGAAATCCTAGCTGTGGATTTCAGGCTTTGTGAACGATCTTGGTTTTCTTTCTTTCTTCGTTTCAGAGGTCATCTATGTTTCTGCGGCAGGAAGTATGCTTTGCCAAATCGTGAATTCTTTACTCCTGCTGCCGGTCTCCGTCGCCCGGCCTTTGCTGAGCTACCTGCTAGATCTGTTGCCACCCCTGGATCGCCTTAACAGGTTGCTGCCGGCTGCTGTGCTTTTAGAAGATCAGGAGTTACAGTGGCCTCTCCATGGTAAGATGTTCAGTCGCTCCCTTTTTTTTTTAAAAAAAAGGTAGGCATTGGATGTGATTTGTGTGTTGCTTGTGAGCCTTAGGAATTTCAAGGAGACGCCTCCATTCACATCCATTTCACTTTTACTTTACTTCCCCCCCCTTTTTTTTTTCTGGTTGGCCTTGACAACCAGAAAGGGGATCCCCTGCCAGTTCCGGTTTGCCCAGTGGCTTGTGGGTGGGGTTCCCGCCTTTGGATTGGAGGTCCTGCCCTGGGAGGAGATCCCTGGACAGCCACGAATGGTCCCAGGAGGTGCCTTCAGCTGGAACTTCAGCCCTGGCTTCTCCCCATTTCCAGGTGGTCCCGAATTGGTGGATCCAGCCGGAGTTCTGCCCTTGCCCCAGCCTGCCCAAGCCTGGGTGTGGCTGGTGGACCTCGAGAGGACGGTGGCCCTGCTCATTGGGCGCTGCCTGGGAGGGATGCTCCAAGGCTCCCCCATGTCACCCGAGGAGCAGGACGCCGCGTACTGGTTGAAGACGCCGCTGTTCAGTGACGGAGCCGAAATGGATATCCCACAATTAGGTATTCGTCTCCAGCTGAATGGAACCAGCGCCCGGAAAAAAAGGAGGGGGGGGGAATCGTGGACACGGAAGCCACCACAGTTGGAGGGTGTGTCGGGTGGCATTTGGGGAGTGGAAAGCCCATGGAGGGTGGTGATGGAGGAGGAGGAGGGCATGCCTGGCTGGAACCCAGGAGAGGAAACCTTCACACCCTCCACACTGAAACATTGGGCTGCCGGTCACCTCTGTGGGTCCATAGTCTCTGCAAAAGGTGATGCTCAGCGGCCTCTCCACGTTGTTTTAGACAAGTCCATGAGCTCTCTCTTGGAAGTGGCCCTCTCTGGCAATGAGGAACGGAAGCCCTTTGACTACAAGCTGCGGCCTGAAATTTCTGTCTTTGTGGATTTGGCCTTGGGGTGCGCCAAGGAGCCTGCCCGTAGCCTCTGGATCAACATGCAGGACTATGCCGTGAGTAAAGGTGAGCGCCTCCTGCAGGCAGAGAAGGCACATCGGGGGGAGGGGGTCTGCAGGTTCTGCTTTTTCCTTCCGAGCTAAGTCAGGGCACCGGAGCTGGGAGACCAGGAGACTTCAGCGTTACCAGTGCTCGTCTCGGGAGAGAAGAAGCCCTGTCAGTTTTTTGCCTTTATATTTTCTAAAACTAGGTCCCGGTCTGCAGATGCTTAACCCATCCTTACCCTCTTTTATGTGATGCGAATAGCAACATTGGGTTTTTAATCTTTATTAGACCCTATAAAAAGCCACCCGCTGAAGTGGCCAGTGCGTTCTGCCTGCCAAATAAGAGTAGTTCTGGGAGGGTCGTTCTGTATGACTTAAGGTACCGTTTGAGGCAGGAGAGGAGACCGTCGGGTGGCTGAATCATTCTTGCTGTTTCATACCTTGGGCATCTCAAAGGATCGTCATTGCTCTGTCTCCTCCCCGGCCCTTTTTCAGATTGGGACAGTGCCACCTTGAGCAACGAATCGCTGTTGGACACCGTCTCCAGATTTGTTCTCGCTGCCCTCTTGAAGCATACAAATTTACTCAGTCAAGCAAGTGGAGAGAGCAGGCAAGTGTCGCGCAAATATCCTCACATCTTTCGTCCTGTGCCCCTCTGAGGATTCCTCTCCTCTCCCCCCCCACGGAACATCTGTGATTTTTCCTCTCTTTTCCTTTTTTTAAAAAAAGGTATCAGCCTGGCAAAGCATTAGTGGAAGTATATCGGTGCGTGTATAAAGTTCGGAGTCGTCTGCTGGCTTGCAAAAACATGGAACTTATTCAGACTCGGTCTTCCTCAAGAGATAGATGGGTAAGAGTGGAGGCCAGCTGTTCTGTTTCAGAGTCACACCTGGCACAGGGAGGAACTGTGTAGGCCAATTATGTTTTGAGACAGAAGGGGGAGAAAGCGGGTATTTGTCCATTTCGCTCATCTTTAATCACGCTTAGCTCCATCTAGTGCATCTGTCTATCTGCCACAAACAGTGGGTTGTGATTCCCTTTGCTTCTTTTGTTTTAGTTGAGTCTTTTTTCTGTTTTGTGTCTTTCATACCCACCTAGTACATTGTTTTGAAGCGGGTTTTGTATTTGGTTTAAGGATCTGTCAACTGTTTTAAAGCTTTGAATGAAAAAAAATTGCAAATACTTGAGGAAGGAAGTCAGCCATAGTTCCTTTCTGGGAACGCAGGCAGGAACAGCTCCCTTGATATACTGAGGAAGGAAACAGGGTCCCCGAGGGACCTGCCTTTTCCTTTCTGGGAACGCAGGCAGGAACAGCACCCTTGATATACTGAGGAAGGAAACAGGCTTGCTCTCCCCTCTCCCTGCCCCTCTTGTGGCCTTCAGGTCCTGTAAATAAACGAGAACAAGATTTTGGACTGAACCGGCCCTCTTGCTGTGTTTTGGGAAGGCTCTTCTGTATTCCTGAGCAGTCTCAAGGAGTTGGGAAGTTGGACTGGGAGCATCATCCCGATGTGTGGTACACATCTGCTCCCATGTGCCCAGATAGTGAGATTCCCGTACAGTGTTTTCCGAATTTTGATGGTTGGGAAACTTCTGCTGACTGCAACACGTCCCTTGGCCATGAATCCAGCTGTCATGCCCCTGAGAACCGTGTGACTCAGCTGTTTCTTTCCACAACCGCTGAATTATCACAGTCTCCTGTGTCATTGGCAACGAAGCTGCGTCAATGCCAGTTTTGATTGTAACTCATTGCTTGATCAGCCGTTTCCTCCTGTCATTGCCGACGGGAGAGCCGTCTTCAATTGTTGTGGCTTGAACTGTAGGAAAGTCACCAGGGCACCTTTAAGTCCAGCAGTTTTAGCATGTCAAGAACTTTTGCTGGACCTTCTTAGGATCATTCCTTCCTGTCCCCTCGCACTCCAGATGTCAGAAAATCCAGACGCTTCAGACATGGATGCCCAGGAGAACTCCTTCACCCGAACCATTGACGAGGAAGCGGAAATGGAAGAGCAGGCAGAGAGAGAGCGGGACGAGGGACATCCGGAACAAGAAGATGAAGATGAGGAGAGGGAGCATGAAGTGATGACGGCCGGGAGTAAGTGAAATCTGGCTTGGGGGGGGCTCCCACAGAAGCTTTGTCGGTAGGGGGTGTCTCTTCCAAATGAATGGGGCTCCCACCAGGAGTTTTCTGTGCAGGCAAATAAGTTCAGCTGAAGAATGTTTGCAGCCATCACGCTCTGCCTAGAAGTTAAGACGTTTGTTTTTGTGTTGCATGTTACAGAAATATTTCAATGTTTCCTATCAGCCCGTGAGGTAGCTCGCAGTCGAGACCGGGAGCGCATAAATGGTGGGGCGGGGTCTCGTGCTGACGAGCAGCCCTCTCAGTCCCAGCAAGAGCGCCGGATCAGCAGAGACCTTCCCGAAGGGCAGGACGTGTACACGGCCGCGTGCAACTCGGTCATCCATCGGTGCGCCTTGCTGATTTTGGGGGTCAGCCCCGTGATTGAGGAGCTGCAGAAGCGGAGAGACGAAGGAGTTTTGCAGCAGCTTTCCAGCGGCACCCCGGAGGGGATGGGGCTCATGACCAGGTGCCGTGAATCCAGGGGCCCCTTTGTTAGTCTTTGTGCCTGTCGCCAGCCACTCTGGAGACCTGGCCAAGGTTGAGAGAAGGCCGGGGGAAATGGGGCCTGGGCAAGGGGGTGGGGGCAGCTCCAGAGGACCTGCTGCATCACTGGCCCCAGTTAGAGATGCAGAAGGCAAACCTGACCGTCCGGGCCTTTTCTGAGGTGGGCCCTGAAAGGACAGATGAGCTCCTCAGGGTGATTGGCTGGGCTTCTCCAGTTACTGCATGGGTAGAACAGCACTCAAGACTGAGCCGATGGCGTGGGATTGCCCTTGCTTTCAGATACGTAGAATCTGCTGTTGCATCAGCAGTCAGCGTAAGGTTCCTTGCTTACCAATTTGCATGCCGTGTTTTATAATGTGCTTTTAACACGGCTGTTAGGTTTTGGGATGATACCGATATAAACAAAGGGGACGCAAATCTGTTAAAGCTCTTGGAGAAAATGTTAGTGGGGGGGTTCTTAGTTCTGCCTCCCCCCCCCCCATAGGGAGGAAAAAGTAGAGATGCGTGCAAAGAGCCATCCCTGATATAAGGGTCAAAGGGGAGGTCTGGGCACAAAGAGAGACTTGGTGAGCCCATGGAAAGTGGGCCTATTAACCCCTGCCCCCCCACACACACACAGAGAGCCATGAGATTGGGGATTTCAGGCCAGGGCGAAGCATGTGGCGACTGCACTGTCTTACCCTCCATGGTTCTTCCATTCTTCTCCTCCTCTTGTCATCTCTGTCCGGCAGAAGTGAGAGCCTGACCGCAGAGAGCCGTTCCGTCCATTCCCCCTCGAGCTACAAGCTGATCAAATCAAGGAGTGAATCTGACCTGTCCCAACCTGAATCAGATGAAGAAGGTTACTCACTGGTAGGCAGAAAGACGTTGAAACCTTACCCTGGTGTGTCTGTTTTCCTGAGGCCGTGGGCTGTGCGAGACTGGGCCCTGGTTTCAGGTTGGCCCCGGGTTTGATTGGTAGGCCTGGCTAAGGCACTCTGTCCCCAACAGGTGGGAGGAGATCACCCCTCACGAGGCTCTCCTGCCTCCACTGCTGAAGTTCAGCTATGTGTTCCCCTACTGTTTGGAAAGGGGCTTCTCTTGGAGGATCTCCCTCTTGGGAAAAGCCCACGCTCCCCTTTGCCTGCTGGGGACACCGCCCTGATCCGATCCACCCATCCTTGGGGCCAGCCCCCCGAGACCAGATGCCCTTGGGTTTTGTTTTTCTCCGAGAAGGGCCTTTGGCAGTTTCTGTAAACACCTTTTCCCTCCCTGTCGCTTTCCCTCCAGCATCTAGTTTCAAAAGCAGGACCCATTCAGTTGTATGGATAGGCATGATGTGAGTGCAGTGAAGGAGCAAGGCAGTAATGCCCCCACTCTTGTTTTTCCCCCCTCTGTAGAGCGGAAGGAGGAATGTGGATTTGGACTTGGCCTCGTCCCACAGGAAGAGGGGTAATATATTTAGCTATTTATTTATTGATTGTGTGTGAATTTGTTGCAGTTGTTTTATAGTTAGTGCACAGTTTCTCTGGAGGAAGGGTCTGGCAGGGCTTTGCCTGGAGAGAACCCTTTCCATATTCACTTGCAGTGTTGCCCCGGGGGGGAAGGGGATTCTGGGACGGCGCCACAGACAAGACAGGATGTATCTGGGATCCTGGGATCCTGACCCTCCACAAAGCGAGGCAGATGCTGGGAGGTGGCCGGCTGCTCGAGGAGAGAAAGGGACGCCATGTGTCTGGTCCTACACTTCCCGAGCAGGCCAGCTGCTGCCGCCACTGCCTTTGTACACAGGGCAGAAGGGGTGGCATTAAAGAACAGCCAAGCTGCCTGTCTCGTTGGCTTTTCAGCATGGAGAGCATGAGGGTGCCGTCTTGCCTTTTGCCTGCTGGCCCTCTGATGATCTCACCATCACTCTCTCTCTCTCCCTCTCGCGCTCTGGGTTCTGGGGGTGTTCCAGATCCTTCTCAAAATGCTTCTGCAGCTGTGTGCTGCCCGAGAATTCAGGTGGTGGCAGGCGGGGGCTGTCTTTGTGGCAGTTCAGTTGTCATTAATGATGGTCTTACTTAGGAAAAAAAAAGACCTGAGAAACATTGGAGATCTCCCTGGTTCTCTGGCACATTGTTTGAAAACCAAATATATCAGCATCCTCTTAGAATGGCAGAGCTGGAAGGGACCCTCCAAGGATCAAGGAGTCCAGCCCCTGTCAGGGAGACCCAGCAGGGAACCAGACCCTGTTTCTCTCTTGGGATGTCCGAGGCTGAAAAACAAACGTACCGCTGGAATGGCTGTCCTGGTTTGCCCTGTGATGCCTCTGGCTTAAGGCTAGACGGCAGCTGTGGGAGCCGCAGCCTCTTGCTGCTTGTCTGCCTTTCTGTCGGGGTGGTGGTGGTGGTTCTGTTGCCCCTTCCCCCAGCACCCGGGGTAAGCGATAAAGGTAAATTATCCCCGTTAGGAGTGTGCAGGATCCTGGTCTTGAGATCCTGGAGAGCTGGGAAGCAGGAGCATCTCGTTTTCTGGTTTTGCCTTGTGTCCTTTTCGTTTTCCTCCCTGCTCTGGGCTCCTTGGGAAGCGCTTGGCCTTTGGGACGTCCCTCCTCCTCCTCCTCCTCCGGGTGGGACCATGATGGCTCCTGAAGGACAAGTCCTGTGAGAGGCGGTAACCACTGCCGTGCTTAGCCCCAAAGGTCTCCTGACATTCCTCTCGGTTTTGATCCCGCTGCTGTGGAGGGGTCTCTCCTGCAGAGGGGCCTGTGGTCGTTGGGATACGGCATACCCCTTTGGAGGACTGCAGCTCCCTGTAGTTCACCGACATATATGCCATAATCAAACGTCTTAGTTTTTGTAGCAAAACCACCAGCAAACCTGAAGACCATCATCCATTTATACCTGGTGGCGGCTTCCATCAGCTGGAGCCCAGTCCTTCAGCTGCCTGGAATGGAGCCTCTTCAACATTCAAACTTAGCTAGCCCCTGGAAATTAGCCGAGCGCCTCGTATAATTAGCCCTTTGTTCGCCTTAAGCCCTGCTGTGAGGAGCAGGTGCTTTAGAAGATGCCCATGGGGTTGGGGAGGGCTTGTTCCAACCTGGGACATTTCCGCCGCCTGCCCCCTCCCAATCATCCTCCCTGCTCCCTTGGAGCTGTTCTCCGTATGGGACTGGGTGGTGGGTCGACCTGTGCCCTTCTGTACCCAATGACTCTCTTTGTCTTCTGGTCCCTGTGCGGTAGTGTGCTTGCTCCTTTTGGGCCAGTTGAGCCCCCGAAAAAAGAAGAGCTTCAAGCAAGTACACGATGGCATGTTCCAGTTCTTTCTTTTCCTCGCTCGCTCGCTCGCTCGCTCGCTTGCCTACATACTTTATGGATCATAAAATATGTGCAGCAGCTCTCCCCATCTTCATTTCGGAAATTCCATTTCTAGAGCGGGCACCGAAGGACAAGTAAACGCTGGGTGGCCTTTCCTGGCTGAGGCTTAGGAGCAGATCAAGCCCTGAGGCACAACGGCCCACCGCTGGGAGCTGGAAGTGCGACCTCACCACTCTCTTTCGCATGGTTCGCTGTAGAAAAGTGTGTGTGTGTGTGTGTGTGTGTGTGAGAGAGAGAGAGAGAGAGAGGGGAGGTGTTTCTGGAGAGGTGCCTTTTAAAACCTCTCGTATGTGTTGGCCCTGGAGAAGGACGTTTGAAATCTGCTGCCAGTGTAGCGTGGAGCGAGATGAATGCTAGGGCTTGAGTCCGTATATGATGATTTAGCAGCCGTCATGGACGGAGTGTGCCGTCTTTTTGATTTGAATGTTTGGGAGATTCTCAAAACACCTAGACAAGATTGGAAGACCTTTCGGACCCTAAGATGCTGGGGAGACGACAGCTCATCTCTCAGCGAGCAGAAGTCTGAATGGGAACGCATTGCCGGTTTTTAAATCTTAGCCAAGAGAATTCAAACCCATGGATTGATGCCAGTTTTCCCTCAGACTGAAATGGCAATGACCATGTAGAATGAGGGTCTTAAAAACTGAAGCAGTGAAATAGCCTGGGCGGGCATGTTCAGAAAATGACTGCTAGGACTGAGCAGGGAGGTCTGGTTGTCATGCGGTCTCCCCTACTGGCCCCCACCCCCTGTTCCTGCAGCTTCCCTGTTTCCAAGGATGATGGGCTTTGCCACTTACTGCATTCGTTTTGGATGTTTGCACTAAGATGGTCAACTTTATGACACATGATGGATTGAAGGAGTGACACATTCTAAGAATAAAGCAGAAATAAAGCAGATGGTGTTGCAAGCAGGTAGAGAGAGGGGTGTGAGTGAGTGAGTGAGTGAGTGAGTGAGTGAGAGAGAGAGAGAAATGCACAGTCAAAAGATGCCCCTCTGTGTGTTGGAGAGTGGGCGGCCTTCGTCTGTAGTTGCATCGGAGGTGCTGCAGAGTGTCAAAGGCAGACTTGGCAGCTGGGAGCTAGAAGGGCCTCCACTGCATGGGTTTCAGATCCACAGGGTGATACCGAACATCCTTGTTTGGGCGCTGGATCTTGCCCTGGAACTCTTGCCGAGGCATAAGCCTGTTCTCTCGGCAACTTGGGCTTTGAGGTGGTTATGCAGAGCAGCGAGTGGCTGTGTTTTCACAGGGGCTTTGGGATCCTAAGTGGTGGCCCCACTTCCTCTGTGGGGCTGGAGGGCGGAAGGGTGGGAATCTCACGGTTGCCCCGATGGCTCGGTTCTCCCTCCTTGTATTCAGTAAGGCCGGTTCTCTGTAAGACGGCAGGTAAATTGAAAGCCGTCCCGAAGGAAGGCAGAAGAGAGAGGGTGTGCACCGGTTTACTTGCCCTTTCCCCCTCCTGCTGCCGACGTAACTGTTCCATCTTAAGCGAGCTCTAAATCCTGTCCTTGCTTTGTCCTGAATATTGCAACTTAAACTCAAATCTTGCTTTACATATGAGCAGCTAAAATAAAAGACGCACCGTTTATTTCGTAGCAGGCTTCCTTTATTTTCCCTTAACTTTCTGTTCTTGTTTGCACACCATCTTGCTCAGTTTTCTCGCCTTTAGCTGAGTGGTCTGAGTGGCTTTTGCCTTTAATTTCCTTCTGTACCAACGTGTGGCTTCAGGGTTCTTGCAAAAAGAAAAAAGTGGAGATTAGAGCTGAATTTGTTTTCCTTGGTAGCAGACTTTGCTAATTGTATGCATGATTTGAAAGGAGCCCCCATCTCCACCTCCTTCAGACTGCAAGCTGCTCATTTCACTTCTTGGTTGGTTGGTTGGTTGGTTGGTTGGTGTGCTCGTTTGCTTAATTGCGGCAGTGGAACTTATGAAACGGTGTGCCATGTGTTTCTAGGCGGTGCCCTCCAGAGCCCCATTGAAGCCCTGAGCGATTCGTGGAGTCGGCTGAAGCACAGAGACTGGCTCTCCAGCTCCTCGTACTTGTTTGGGGAGTCGGATTTTGACTTCACCAAATCCGTCGGAGTCCACACTCTGATTGAGAATGTGATCAGCTTTGTTAGTGGGGACGTGGGAAGCTCCCCGGGATTTAAAGAGCCTGAAGAAAGCATGTCTACCAGCCCTCAAGCCTACATCATTGCCATGGAGCAGCAGCAGCAGAGAGCAGAGGTGCGGTTCATCATTATCCTTCCTTCCCTCACCACGGAGGCAGTCATGCCACTTAGACACCCACTTCCATGCTTGGAGTCTGGAAGCCTTGCTAAAAATAGTAACTTGCTAACTGTATGTTTTCTGAGCAGCGTCTTTCTCATTCTCCTTAGCTGTAGCTTGCAGTAATTCAGCATTTCTCAGCCACTGCTAATTGTATCTCCTCTTCCTGAAGGGTCCTTTCCCCAAAAGACAGTCCTTGCCTCCACTCCGGCCACTAAAAACTGACCTGTCTTTCCTGTTTTAAATTGAAAGCCAAGGGACATGTAATTTCTCAGCAAAGCCAATAACATTCTGAGAAGCCTCCTCCAACCACGTCCTCTTGCAGACAAGGCATCTGTAGGTCAGAGGGGCTGCTTCAGGTGGAGTGCCTGGGAGTGCCGGAGCGCCAGTGCCCTTAACATATGGCCTCTGAGCTCCACCCATTCGGAGAGATGGGCATTTGGGGATACCTCCTGGAAAGAGGGTGGTGGCATGCCTGAGACCAGACGATGCCTTCTGTGCAGCTGCTTTCATATTTTGTGGGGAAGCAAAGGGAGCCCTCCCAAGCACACAGCATGCTGGGGTTTTTCTTTCTTTCTTTCTCCTTGAGCATGATAGCACTGTGGAAGCCAATCAGATGGTGTTGCTTTGTGATGTTCCGTATAGAGTTGTGGATGCTGGCCATTTGGAAGGAAGAGAGAAACAATATTAAGAAGCCGTTCTGGTTTGCCCCGTATCACCTGACCTTTTCTTTCCGCTTCGTTTTTCTTCCTGTTCATTCCAAGGTTGTTCCTAGAACATTGTTGCACGTGTTCCTCTGGTTGGCATCTGGTTTGCCCCGTATCACCTGACCTTTTTTCCCGCTTCGTTTTCCTTCCTGTTCCTTCCTGGCTTGTTCCTAGAACATAGTTGCGCGTGTTCCTCCAGTTGGCGACATTGCACTGTTATCCTTACATCTGAGTAGCTTCATCTCACAAATGGTAAAGCACAACCTTTTTTTTTTTTCTAAACTGCTTTTAGCTGCATCTGGAGGCCCTTCATCAGATCCTGGTGTTGCTTTCTGGCATGGAAGAAAAAGGCAGCGCTTCGTCCCTGGGGAACCGCCATGGGCTGGCGTTCCAGTCATCTTCACTTCTCACCTCTGTGAGATTGCAGTTCCTGGCTGGGTGCTTTGGCCTGGGCACCGTCGGACAAGCCGGCTCGAACGGAGAGAGCATCCGTCTGCATCACTACCAGGTGAGCGGTGGTTGGTGGTGCCTCCAGCTGCCCAGCTCAAAAGGGCTGCTGAGCTTCTGCTTTAAAAATTGGTGCCCAATAAGCCAGCTGGCAGCTGCACCCTTTTCCGGAATAGTCCATTCTATAACTTCTTCCCCCGCCCTCCCCACCTGCCCAGGCTTTCCATTGCTTTTGCTGAAAGTCACTTTCATGAAAGCTAGCAGGGAGAGTCCTGTTTTTTCAAATCACTGGAGAGCTTTCTCCTCTACTTGAAGAGGCTAAAATTGGATTCCCGGCGCTGCCATCTGCTTCCTTCCGTTCTCCATAGGATGGCATCAGGGCGGCTAAGAGAAACATTCAGACTGAAATTCAGGTGGCCGTGCACAAGATCTATCAGCAGCTCTCTGCCACTTTGGAACGGGCCTTGCAGGCCAATAAACACCACATAGGTAAGTCCGAGGAGCCAGTGAAACCGTGCCGATTCCATTGGGTGACGGCCGACAAGTGACGTGTTGTTTGATGACATGTCGTTTTTCGGCAGCCTGCTCATAGGGCGGATTGTTTCTAAGTCAGTTCTTTTCTCCTGTTTCGTGTCTGTGCCTTCTGTCTTTGTGGGTGTCTTAGAGGCGCAACAACGCCTGCTGTTGGTCACGGTGTTTGCCCTCAGCGTCCACTACCAGCCCGTCGACGTCTCCTTGGCCATCTCTACGGGATTGTTAAACGTCTTGTCCCAGTTATGCGGCACAGACACCATGCTCGGGCAGCCGCTGCAGCTGTTGCCCAAAACGGGGGTTTCCCAGCTGAGCACCGCTTTAAAAGTAGCCAGCACAAGGCTGCTCCAGATCCTTGCCATCACCACAGGGTAAGT